CTGTTCCTAAACGTTCTCCGCTTCTGTTCCATGCTACGCGACGTACGTATTTATCGTACGGAGCATCGCTGCGTATAAGTACCTTCGATCGACCAATTAGAAAGTCTCTACCGGGATTTTAACGCGTTTCGTTGCTGCGCTCTGGCGATCGAAATCGATTTCGGTATTTTATTCCGATAAATACGAAGCAACGCCGTCGTATACGACGCATATCCAACGTAGCATCTTTCGACGGGAATCCTCGAAGAAATCCGGAATGGTTTCGATAGCGTAACGTCTGTTACGGGAAACGTCGGTCGTCGAAACCAGTCCCGTAACGTCTAATGGCGTTTTGGAGAGGATTGCCGAATCGAAGGAGTCCCCGAGTGACTCAAGTACCCGGTACTTGGGTTTCCCTCGCTTTCACTCTGCTATTCTTCGCTTCCTCTGCCATTATTCCCCTTCCTCTCCTCTTCGTTCTTCTCAAAGGAATCCCCGAAAAGATCAACCTACCTTAATTACCATGCGCGGTCACGAGTTCGAGGATCGTTGCCAACGAAAATAGACCAGGCAGAGAAGAAACTTTCCACGCAACGTGACGATTTTCGCACATGCGGACTCGTTAGCCGCTGTATATGTAGCGAGGATCGAGCTTGCGCGTGTCGAAAAACGAGCAATTGCCGAAACATTCGGCTCGATACCGCGTAGTAGATCGTCGTCCTTCTCCGTAACCTTCCGTGTAACCTGATCGTAAGTATGTTCCGCATCGGGCTGGCTTTGGATTACCTTTAGCTTAGCTTTGGACTAACTTTCGATCGAGTTTGTATTAGATTCGAATCGAGGATCGAGCTGCCGCGAAATTTCGTGATGCGAATGGAACGAGCATGCGGAGGTACGAGGTACCTCCGTGGAATTGTACGTGATCGAGTACGCGTACTCGAGAAGCATCGAGAGTTTGACACGACGAAATTTTCGGGTCAAGCGTTTCGCGTGTGTTCGATCGGTTGGCGCTTTCGGCGGATTTTTTAGAGATCGCTTTGGAACACGGTTTGCGAATGGAATTCTTAATTCGGGAATAGAAATCGGAGAATCGTTTTTCTTCTTTTTAGAGAAATGCACTCAGCCGGGAGTGTTTTACGTAAAGGTAATTTCCTTTCCAGGGAATAAATATTCTTGCTTCCGCGTAAATATTCTCGATCCTAAAGTTTCAAGCTTCTTAAGTAACGTGGCGATTTTTAAATTATTCGCGAAATATTCCATCGAGCTAGGTTAATGTTACATGGAACGCAAACTGTGATACGTCGTTAAAAGGCTATACCTCTTCTTTAAAAGACTTTATTTTTAAAGTTAAACGGTTTTTTCTGTCGTCCTCCTACTCCTCCTCCTCCTCCGGTATCTTCCTTATTACGCTCTTCGTTGAAGCAAAAAGTCATTTAAACGCTGGTCTCGTCCAAGACGAACGTTAACGGAGTAACCGTCGACGCGAACGATAACTGAGAATGAAAAAACGCGGTGGCAAGAAAATACGCGCGTGTCGATTAATTTCGAGGTGTCGTCTTCGTTCGGTTCCGAAACGGTCGAGGGCACCGTTTGCGTTGTAAATGCGCGTAGACGCCTCGTAGGTATCCGCCTCGATAAAAGCGACTACGCGAGGGCAGAAGGGAACGCGATTCGCGATATAACGCTTTCTCGTTGAAAACAGCGGACGCGATTTTCAGACGTTCCTCGTTCCAGCGATTCTTGATCCAACGAAAGAAAGAAAAGAAAGAATTGGACGAAACTTCGTTGGAGGGGAAGGGAGACGAGATACGTCGATTCCCGATAGATAATAGCTAATTGCTACTTGCCACTTGCGTAGTTTTATTTTCCTCGTTCGAATCAGCTCGTACTTTCTTACTTCGCAGTTGTTGTTACAATCTTTTCAGCCTCATTTTTTATCGCGATCGAATCGTCGATTTATCGACACTCGACGCCAAAGTACTCGAAGGACTAAAAAAGCAGTATCGTATCGATCCAACATTCTTCGCTAGATACGAGGTAACCGTTAATTATCGAAATTCACGTGTTTCCCGCAACGCCGAGCGAACCTCGTTGCTCGCGTGGAAGCTTATTACGCTGTATGGTAGTTCGCGGAAGGGCAGGGCCGCGGATATCCGCGACGACATTCGCCAGAAAGTCAACGGAGAAGAAGCTTTTGCCACGACGGAGAGATGTTTATGCAAATTCCGTTGCAGCGATTTTTCGATCCATCGTCCTATATCGCTGGCCGCCGTAAATAGCGTGCCAACGGTTACCATCCGACCATGAAAACCGAGACCTATTAATTTTTCGAAATATTTTTCGAATACGCGGAAACGAAACCAATTTACGTAAGTCGAGAGAGTACGCGAAATGTTCGATTAGCTCGTCGAGCGTGTTACCGAAAAACGTTTAACATCGTTTAGCGAGTAAATTACCGTTTCGTTCCGATCGGTGTTAAACGATTTGCAACGTACGGAGCGTTTAACGAAAAGCGAGAATAATTACCCGAGTCAAATACGAGTTTGGGAAGTTGTGGATTCGATAGAGATCGCGATTAAAATTTTGGAAGAGTCGAAAACTGGATATAGATACTGGCTGCTCGGTGAATATATCGTTTAATATGCAGCAGGATCCACGGAACTTCGTCTACCTGTCCTATTATACTCTCGAGTTTACAGTCTCGTTATAACTTCCCTTAATTCTCTTCTAATTTATTCACCCCTCTGACGGTGCCTTTGTCGCCTCATCGTCGTGCGTTATTTCTTCCCAAAGAACAAATTTTCATGAATATAAAGAGGATAAGGAAGGCGATATCGAAGTTCGTTGTCATCGAGTCAACGTTCACGAAGTCACGTCGTCGGACGAGTCTCCAGCTGGACGCAGCGATCGGAAAACGCGATCCTCTTGTTCGCCCATCGTATCGCCACAGTCACAGCCTCTATGTTTATTCGAAAGAGGCCCGAAGATGGCAGGAGCTTTGATCGTTGGCAACGACTAGGAATTTTTCGCGAGTGAATTTTTAGCCGGTGAACCAGACGCCGTCGACGTTAAAGAAACGTAAGTAGAGATCCTCTTCGTTTGCTTCTCTCGATACTCGACGTTCGACGTTCGACGGATCGACGTAGCTTGTCGGCACTTCGCCGGCCAAAGTAATCATTGGCACGAGTCTCTCGTCGAACGATAGGAAAAATTTCTTAAATCGTTTAGCTGCTGAATATAGCCGATCGATCGTCGCACGAGGGACTCTAGTGACGTCTCGAGCAAGGACAAAGAGTAAACGGCGACGGACGATTCATCGGCGTCGCGTCGCTTTTACCATTCGCGTATGTTGGCTGATTACGAGGCAAGGTTCGCGTATCGATCGATGTCCGTAAACGCCCGCCCTTTCCTACGGTTTTCAGCGTCTCGGAGACGTTTCTCGACCCGTAGATTAGATTATATAATTGCCACCGAGTCGCCACCGTACTTTGCGTGACGTTTTCAGCTTGAGATTTTACATTTCGTCGTTCGATCCTCTTTGTTTCGAGTTCGCGTTGTACGGCGATCGAAACGCTCGAACGTATTCCGAAGTCTAGTAAAACCTATTCCAAATCTAATATCGTTGAAGTTTTAAGGAACCACGTATTTCGACAAAATCATGATGTTAGATAGGTATTCGACGACTTTGGCACTACTATGACTAACGCTCAGATAAGCTCGATACTTTTTTGTATTTACGACGTTTCGAATCGGATGGAAAGCTCGAATTTGGAAACCAACAAACGCCGTAGAGGCGAAGAGGACGGCGAACGGTTGCAACGATTCTCTCGATTCGTGCGATAGGTTGGCGTCGCCATGGAGCGAGTCGCGTAGAACGAACGACGATCTTCGATCGAATCGAAACAACGATCCGCTCGATTATTCGTCGTCTTTGTCGTCTTCGTCGTTGGACATTTTAAATCCAAACGGCGCTTTCGAAGCTTTGAGAGCAGATACGATTGACACGATCGATCGTACGTAATCGATTTTATCCGCGGACGATGTTATCTCGCTTATGTGTACGAAGAAATTCGTAGCACGAGCCGTTTTACAAATTTAAACAGCGATATCGCGCGAATTTCGTTAAAATCTCTCGCGGAGAATCGCTCGTTTCGAGTGGTCGACGCGAATTAATCCATCAATTTCAAAACAAAACGCGCGATCGATCTACTATGATCGATACGACGATTTTGTTTTCGTAGTTGTCGTTGATCGGCAGGATTCGTGTCAACACGCGTGGTTGACGTTTAATGATCTCGATTCGATTACAATCTGCCAGCCGTTTCGTACGCTCGTTCGTTTGCTCCTTCGCCGAAACTGGCGTTGGATCGAGGTCGTAATTCCATACGATTATCGATAAGATTACGTTTGTTCGCGGTTCTGTTATAATTCAGGATGGCAATGGTGTAAATGGTTGATAAACGCGTTGCGTTCTTAGCGGTTGATCGCCGATCGGAAAGGCTAAGAATAAGAACGGTGTCGCGATCTTTGGAAACGGGGCTCTAATTAAGCGATCCGGGACTGTGGATCGAACGGTGGTTGTACGGCGTCGAATTTCACGACGTTGCAGAGAGGAAGCTGCGTGGGATACGCGCAGGCGATAACTAGACTTTATTTTTATCGAAGAACACACGTTCGATCTATCCTTCGTTCCCTTCTTTTTTCTTTTTAAATAATAGAGCTACAAATAAGCTTCTGCTGCGACACGTACGATACCGTTTAAACGAATTGCAAAACGAAATTCTACCGATGTTTCGAGGATTGCGTCTCTCGGTGTGCATAGGCAAAATACCGATTGCAACGAGAGGAGAAGACGCGCCGTGTCACGAGATTCGACGCCGGCATCATCCGCTTCTCTCGTGTATCGAAATTTCTTCGTGCATGCGTAATTAAAAATACATGACGCAAGATGCGATCTCGCCAAATGGATCATCCTGTCCTATTTTAAACCGTCGAAACCATCTTCGTGCCATATTTACCTTTTCGAGTGGGGCGGACTAGCCGAACGACGAGACGTTAATTAGCGTTTAATTCTCGATCTACGCTCAGTTGGAGTGGCGATCGTCGCGTTATCGAGGGTCAGTCACAGAGACGGCTATATTCCGCGGACTGTTGCGTGGAAAAACGGTCGCGTACCAAAGCACGTTCACGTTTATCCGTGTGTGTCCGATGGTACACATTCTCGGATAAAGAACGGTTCCAGTTCGTTGTATAACGATTATCGAGTGTCTCTATTACAGGTGTTTCTTAGGGAAAATACCATTTTGACAAAGTGCGCCCACCTTGTCGGTAAGTGGATCGTTCTTTCACTTTCTCTGGTTTCGCGCTAAACTCGCGTCCCTCCTTTTCTCGCGTCGTATCTTCCTTTCCCCGATTCTTTTCCCGAATCACGATTGGAGATATTTCTCGGCTGACGCGCCACCGCGTTATGTTATGTTTCTTCTCTCCGCGTGGAGATACACAGCGACGCTGGGAGACTCGAGGGTGGAAGATTTATCGAATTCTGGGCAAGTCTGGATCCAACGAAAGATGGACTTTCCAGTGGCCAGGAAATCTACCGGAATCGATAACTCCGATCCCATCGGCGTCCCCGAAGTCGAGGACGAACGATCCTCGAAGAACGTTTTTACCCGTCGCGTTCTCCAAGAGTTCACGATCGAGCGACGAAAGGTTGCGAAACGAAGATTCCAGTGATTCGACGATCGCCGGTACGAACACTTCGAAGGAAAACTCGTTGCCTCGCGTTCCTCCGTGTCCAAGCGAGTTTCAGATCGACGTACGATCCACGTTCTCGCGACGCTTTTGTTCCACCGTACGAGAATTTCATTTCCGAGCAGCGTCTGATCGTTCGTAGAAACCTGCGATCGTTCGTAAAAAGAATCGCAACCGTCGAACCCTGCGAACAAACGTGCCGATTACTCGGAGATTCTTTCTTTTGCTCGCGCGTCTGTATCGTCGTTTAATAGTACCGCCTACTATCGACGCACCTATACAAACGAAAGACACGAACGATAAACCAACGGAAACGTAGCAGATCGCGAAACGTCGGAATTATAGCACCGATCGTCTTCGAGCATCGTCTTCCTCGAATCGATTCGTAATTGGTCACGTAGTTTCCGATAACGTAACGATTACCGAACGAAATAGATCGCGCGGTACAACGATTCAGGATCGACGACGTGCCTCGTCCCTGGCGTCGGCGCGATTACCTCTCGCTTTGATCAACGTGGTCTTGGAATTACCACAGTCGTTCGCTTTTTCAATAATGCTCCACCTATGTCTAGAGGTTTGCGTCACCCGACGATCCGTCCGAAAGTCAAAGAAAAAGGGAAGATTTCCGCTCGTTGCTTCGAGCCTCGAATTCGATTTACTTTGATCGATCGGTAATAGAATCGGCAATATTTGACAACGCGCTTGCGTTTTAAGGCTAAATAAGTACTCGAACGCGTACGATGGCAGATAACCGAATTCGTAATTGTAAAATATCTTCTTCGACGCACGTTTTCGCAATGCGCGTAAGCGATCCTCGATTATCTTCGGTGGAAAGCTCGTCTTCGCGAAACGGTTTAATATCGGCTGCAAATAAACGACAGAAGATACGAAACACGGGGTCGAGATCAAATACAAGATCGAACGCGTTCGAAAGAACAGAACAGAACAGATCGGAACGGTAACAAATCGTTATTTTCTTTCTTCGCCTCTATCCGCAAGAGCGGACGATCGGTTAGCGGGCAGAAATAATCTCTGGTGCGAGTTTCGGCGGTCATATTCCGGTCGTAGAGCAAGATTCACCGATCCGAGCTAACGATTCGCGTACGCGAATTCGAGGGTCGAGCACGGGTCCGATTTCGTCATCGTCGACCAAATATTCCAGCCACGAATCCTTCTTTCACGCGATTTCTCGTACGCGGTTTCCTCTCCATCTTATCGGCCGATAACATTTTTTCGGTAGCAGATAATGGCCGTGACAAATAAGTGGTTCTCGAGTTGTAGATAATCTGTCGAACATAATTCGCGATTTTCTTTCGCATTTCCATTTAAGTGGTATCGCGATGGTAGTCGCGTAACTCTGAAAAAACTTCTTGGAACGAGATAGATACCGCGAATGGCAGTGGTGGTGGGAACGATACCGGAGATTTGGAAATTAACCAAGAGCTTTTAATTGCCCTGTTTCGAGCACTCGCGGCATTCTGATAATTTCGATAATCGGCGTGGAATTATCTCGGAACGAATATTTCGAATTAAAACTAGTATCGCGAGCCGAAAAACGTTCGTCGTTGAAGGTATTTAAACAAATACACGCGAAAGGACAGGAACGCTGCCGAGATAGAGATCGATCGATATCGAAAATACTTGAACGAAAGCGTCGCGCGTATTCTTGTAAACACCATCGATGTTATTACAGTTATGTTTGCTCGCGAAGCGTTGTACATATCGCGAGTGGGCGTATGAAAAATGAGAAAACAGAAAAGAACGAAAACAGACGATCTAATCGCGTAGCTACCTTTTCTTCGAGAGACGCGCCTGTCGTGTAAATATACGATACTTCGTTTTACCATCGACGTTCCGAGTATCGTTGTAGTTGTACGTTACGCCAGTGTTGTTTCTTTGTCTAATTATCGTGTAATTAAGACATCGTGGTCTAAAAAATGACTAAGAAAACGAAATAAATTACGTAATGTTTTAGCATTGCATAATGCGTTGCAAATACCGGTAGAACGTTTATTTCGCGAGCAGACGGTATCGACGTCGATGTTGTTCCTCGATACGATTTCGCGTAACGAAAATAATTATATTACCGAAAATTGATTCGGACGACGCGAAAACCGAGAACGCAGCGACGCGTCTGCTTAGAGGCGTCGAATTGTGGAGGGGATTTCCGAATTGCGGCAGTCGGGCGCCGGCATTCGAACGAAGAGGACGCGCGTTGCGCGTACTCCTTATCGTTACATTCCGCGTGTAACGTGCAACATTACGTATGTTACGTGTTCCGCGCTTATATTTCAAACATTTAACGTTTTATTTATACGTATGTGTACGTATGTATGCGTGCAATTTTACAAAATTTTCAGGCTACGCGTAATACGCGACAATGTACAAAATATTTCGTACAAAGCACTTGTCGTAATATTTAAAGAACGAAACGAGTTTCTGTTCGGATTCTACGAGAAATTAACATTTTTTTGCAGAGAACTTGCTTCGGATTTTATAATAAAAATCTTCGTTTCTATCGACTCTTTGCCGGGATAGGAACCAACGGAGCGGATTTTTAATGAAAAAACGCTTCCGGCTCTTGTAACATCCTTCTCGTTGCCAGCACTTTGATCGATGCAACCTTCGGTAATCCCGAGATTCTAGAAATCAATTAACTCGGCCCCAGGTTCCGAACGTACGAGCACGGAAGACCCCGCTCGTTTGATCACGGCGTACCGATACCTTTCCTCTTTTATCTTTATCGATCTTTCCGATAAACATCGGATGGAACTCGCCTCGTTTTTAAAACAAACTATCGTCGGAACGCTGTTCTTTACGTTCATAAACTTTCTCTCTCCTTTCTTTTTTTTTTTATTTTTTTTCAAGCCTTACACTGCGAGCGTTCCACGGTAACACGCAGCATCTCGCTTCGATTTTCCTTCGATCTCGTCGAGCGATCGTAACGACCAGCGACGAGTAACGAGTACGAGAAAAGCTTGTACGTGAGACGAATGTAACGCGTTTCGCGTACTAGGCAAATCGTTGTAGTACGCTGCAGAGTGTTCGCGTAGCGCGTGAATGAAAATCGACGAGCGGAACGATCGTTGCGAGTATGAATGAAACTGAAATGCGCATGGAGAGACGCGTAGGACGAGGAAGTAGCAAAGACACGCAGCCGTCTTGGTGCAACTCGAGTCGGCTAAACGTCGGTCAAAGATAAAATAAAGTTCGACATCCGGGAAATTGTGATGATTGACGCAACTGAAACTGCGATCATTGACGTCGAAAGATTATATAAACGATATAAAGGAACGCGTCGTTATTTATTTGATAGTCGTACGTAGACGATCGTTCAACGTGGCTAATGGAATTCATACGCGACAGTTGTTCTCTTCTCTTCTATCGTCGATTTACGTCCACCCTACTGCTATTTGCATTCGTACGTTAGTGTATTTTCGATTAATCGCGGGGAGACGCAATCGCGAGGAAACGCGTCAACGGCAGTCGCAAATTCCCGTTACGATTATAATAATCGACACCACGAGTCGATCGATCCCCTGATTTCCGTTAAGATAATAGGAGTGGTTGGGAGGGTACAACACCGTGATTCACAGGGTTATAAGGTTTTTATTTTTAACGCTTGAGTTACACCGTTGCTTACGATATATATCGTCGACAATGAGTTGGCGTATACGGATGCGATACACTGGCACGATATTCGTTGGTGATCGAGCGAGGCTCTTAGAGTTTTGTTATAGTTGACGTAGCAAAAGGGAAAAGGCAGAACCCGTTACTGACGCTATTCTAAAGTTGTAGAATAAATAAGGTACAGCGACGACGCTGTGTCGAAGGAAAGCTAGCGACGGGCGTGTCTAGCGCACGGGACCGTCGGATTTGTTCGTGACATTTTTGGTCAGGAAAACGAGGGCAGCGTACCTTGCTTCTGATTGGATAAACGAAGCTCGGTGGACTAGGAAGGGTCGTACCCGTGTCAAGCCGTAGTAGACGATACTCTTTAGAAAGCGATTTAGAAAAAAGATCTGTTCGGTCCGAAGGACCTTAGCTAGCGAATTACTGGGATTTACCACGGGTCTTTGAGACTATCGAGGGTACGCGGTAGGGATGAGCGGACATCTGGTTCCCGTCTGGCCCGCGGTGTACGGCCTGGTCTAGGTAGAGGGTCGTTCGACGTAACGATTAGCATATATAGCACTCCAATTCGATCGTTTCCTTCGAAACCTGTTCGCGACAGCGTGTGTATCGCCACGTTGAACGTTGGCATTCGCATTTCCAACCCCGTTAGCTCGCGTCCAACCCTTTCGCACGAGTGCAGCTGCCGTGGTACACGTGCAGTCCGATTTGGTATCGATCTTTTGCGCCGATGCTAGGGGCGCGTAATAGGCGAAGGGTAAAGTCTTTTCAACCGCCGCTGCTGACCGACTTAATTCGCGGCCGTTACGACACAGATTCGTATTCGTTCGATCGCGACAAACGTTTCGAAACCCGAAGAAAAATCCGATACGTTAGATAATGCAGATACGGAGAACAATCGCGATCGTCCAACAGCGATATACAGAGAAGGACGAGCGAAGATTTCTCGATGACGGCACTTCTTTTTTACGCGTCTATCGCAACCTTTTTCTTAGATTCGCTTGCAAAGTTTCCATCCGAATGGTAAAGAAAGACACGATGATATAAATTTTTAGCATGTTCTGGCTAATTCGAGTTTCCTTAAGAAAATCAAAGATCAACGGGCTATCGCGTTCAGTAGGCTGTCCTGCAAAGGCGCGAAACGAAAACGATGGAATTATTCGTCGTTCTCTTGCCTTTATATCGCGATTTTGCATCGCGTTTCCAACGACCGAGAAACACACCCGATCTCGGCTCTTTTTCTTACTCGAGCGAGCTCGTTTCTTTCCGATGATAAAATTTCTCTCGGACAGCTGCGTAGATCGACGAGATACGCAAACGATAACGAACGCGAAGAAAAAATGTTCCGTAATTATAATTATATAATACAACGTAACGATCGACGAGGCGATGGAATCCGCGATGGAACGTAAGCGACAACACGTAGGACGATCGTTAACTTGGCCAGGCCATTGCAGGTTGCACGACCCTGACCTTCGGTCTGGCGACGCTAACGCTAACGTTCGCGTTAAAAGCGTCCGGCTTTACGAGCTTGGCAGCTTGGAAACGGGAAACGTAGGCGAAGCAACAACCGCGCGATGTAATCGTCCGATCCAGAACCATAGATTTTCGTACAGCCTGTTTAACACGCTCGATAGCCGCGCGAATAGCAGCACGACTATCCGTGGTGGTGAAAAAGCGAAACGATCGGCGCCGCTTGGCGCCTGTTGGCGTTTCAACCCCGTCGGTCGACCGTATCGACC